TTTTTTATTTCATATTATCATCATATTATTATTATAAATCAACTAATATACTTTAAATGTAATATTACAAAAAACAGAAATTCCAACATACACACATCAATTTCGTTTCTGTGCATAAAAAACGTATAAAAAACGTGCGTGCACAAACATGCAAGAAATAAGGGCTGCAGAGGACGTCAGTTGACAGGCATCAGACAAATGTGAGCCGACAGAGATATGGCATCAATCGGAAAAAATAAACAAAATCCTACAAAAATATGCAAATCATTGTATACTTATTTATTTTACAACATTGATTCGATGCAGATAGAGGAATTTAAGCAATGGCTGCATAAATGATACAAATATGTTTGAACATTTCAATTATTGAAATTTACGGAAAAATCCGGATTCATTATTTACAGTACTCTGATTTTAATCATTTCAGTAAGTTCTTTATTGAATTTTAGAAGTTTGATTGACGCTTTGGGGTAATATTTTATGAATATATTTACTAATACATTAAAAAGTTAATGAATAAAGACTAAATAGTCATCTTAAAATCTTTGGAGTCTAACTAAACTCGAAAAATGCAGTTCATAAATGACTTTTCCCCCCTCAAATTTCGTATGATTATTCAAAACTCTGGCTCCAATATATCCACCACAGTTGACTGAGCTTTAAGCAAGTGTATTTCCCTTTTTTCCAACTGTCAGCTTTGTTCCGCTCACTTTTAAAATATATTTTTTCTACCTGTTGTGCGGCTCTGATTTATTTAAAAGATCTTAAATATTTAATTGCCTTTTGTTGGTTCACGGGCTGGCATTTATTATTAAAGATTCAAGCTAAAAGCTTAATGTTCGTCATTCATATTTAATTATTTTTTAATTTTGTTGTTCTTTCTGGCTTTTTATTTGTTTTTTTTCCACATCCAATGAATATTTTTTGGTTGCACTTTTTGTGCCTTTGAACTAAATTGCTCTCCCTTTCTCTCGGGCTTTCTCTTTTACTTTCTCCACGTGCGAGTGTGTGTGTCTGGCCACATTGTTGTTGCTGCTACTTCTGTGGCTGCTCTGGCATCATTGCCACCATCATCATCATCATCATCGTCGTCGCGGACGCCTGGCAACCCTGACCTGAATTTAACTCTAAATTTCTGCGAGCTCTGGTATTTTTTCGCCTTTATTTCTGTGCGGTAAATCAGTAAGCGTGTGTGTGAGTGTTAATTTAATATTTGTTTGTGAAACAAAAAAATAAACGGAAGCAACAAAACGGGCAAAAAGAGTTAATTTAAATTCTTCAAGTTAGTTGCACTTTGTAAGCATGAAAAGGTGCAAAGCGTGCAGAAGGAATTCCGTTTAAAAGGGAGCCAGAGAATGAAAAAATTACTTCATAAGAATAAAATAATTTTGTGGAAGTTTAACTAGAGTTTAGGTATAATTATATAATTATATAATATCAAATATATTTTCTAAAGCCAAGATACTAATCAAAATTGCTCCACACTGTACCCTAGATTTTTAGCTCCCCCAAGAAGGGCTAAAACTTCCCCATCGTAAACATGTCCAGGCAACTCAGTTGAAGCAGTTCATTAATAAGTGACCAAGCGGTGTCATAAGCAGTTCATTAATTAGGGACTTGAACTCCCTCGCAAGCAAACAATCCGGCATCCTTTTTCCTGTACATTTTCCAGCGTGTTGTCCTTCCTGGTCGAATCTGTCACGAAGGAGCTTAAACACAGCTCGGATCGCCAGCTCCTGGCATTTATGCTTTGTGCTCGACTCCTTCTGTTCCTGTTCCTCCAGTTTTTCCATGAGCTCTGCCCCCATTTCATTCCATTTTCCGTTGGCACTGCCAGTTCCTATCCCTTGTCAGGTATTTCAGCTTGTTGTTTGCTGCAGTTATGTGTTTAACTGCCACACACATCCAGCAGAGAGACGCCCCCTTCGAGTCCCTTGGCTAGTGGTAAAGGGCCATGTCAACTGGCATACGAAACCAATTTCCTTTTTACGGCAAATGAAATGAAAATTTGAAATGACCACAAAACCGGAGAGAAAAGGAAACTCAGCGAGATGGAGCGGAAAGGAGGGGGTAGGTGCACTGGGAAAAAAAGTTCTGGTATATAGTAAATATATTCTAGATATAGTAAATATCATGTCATATTATTCCATATCATATCCTATCAATATCACATATCAAATAATATTTTATATTATTAATGTAATTGTTTTTTTTTTTCAGAATACAATCCTTCTTTTGGAGACCTACTTTAAATATAATTATGATTATAAAATCGTGAAAAACGGTTACAGTGCCCGGTTGTGGGACAAAGCGTGGTCTCTCGCAGGTGGTATCTGCACAGGAAATGGGCACTCGGACATGATGCGACCTTGTACTGGAATGCCACTCGCTCGGCTAACTGCCATCTCCTATCTGGTAACTTAACCTACACATATCTCTGGGTCTCCGGCGATGAGGACCGACACATTAACGATGAAAAGTAGCAGAAATAACTGAATTAGCCATGCACCGACAGCTCAAGGAATTCCAGGATCTCCTTCCTTCTAAATGGTTATGTATCCCATTCACCACTCTCTGGGCATCCGAACAGCTGCTGCCCCGTTTCCAAAGTTTCGCCCCACCTTCCTTTTTGGGGTCAACCAAGCAATCTACCCGCAGCGGCTTTGCGGTGGATTTATTTTATTGCCAAAAATGAGAAACCAACAAAAAACACGGGAAATGAGCAGAGTTCAAATAAACGACGCTGTTTGCACTCTCATAAAACGATGAAACCATAAAGCGATAACTGACTGGATATATATTTAATATATATTTTTATAAAACTGTGATTTTATTGGTTTCGAATTTTTTTGTATTAAATTTAAAAAAATATTAATAAAAAAATACTAATAACATTTTTAAAGTAATTTAAGATGATCTCCTAAAACGATAACTAACTTTTTATATATTTAATATATTTTTATGGTTTTAGGATAAATAATACATTTTATTTATTTCATATTTATAATGTATAAGTTCAATATAATATTAATAACAAAATACTAATAACATGTTTAAAATATTTTAAAGATGATATTATTTTTCTAAAATGTATATAAAGTTATGTTAATTTATTTAAAGAGCATTACTAGATGAAGAAACTAAAACGGCATCTCGAATTGGGATAGGTTGCGGTTCCCCAGCCAAGTTGCCTTTTTGTGCGGTCCTCGCTTTAATCCTTTCGCCATTCCTAACTAACCTAACCGACTCCGAATCCTTGTTGTGTCCTTTTCTGGGTGTCTTCTGCTTGGAAGGCGGTGCGCAGCTCATAAAACGCCATACGTATGCGCATTTCATTTGATTTGATTTAATTTTATTGCCTTTTATGTACGTTACTGCTTGGCTGCTCTTTGTTGCCAAAAAAAAAAAAAAGAGAAACGAATAAGGAAAACAAACACAAAAACAAAGGGATGCGAACAGGATATGCCACTTTGTGTTGGAATTAATTTAATTTGATTTTTATTTATTTATGCCAATGGAAATTGGTTTTTGTTTTGAGCCAAGCCAGCCAGGCGAGCCAATTTACAAAAATCCCTGGTCAAGGCCCCACAAAAATGTAGTGAAAATGGGGTTTATTTAATAAGCCAAATTTGAACTAAAAACTTGAGGACTTTCTAAAACTGATGGCGACTTAATAAAAAAATAATCATTAATCTAAGATTTCGGTTTTACGGTAACTAGTCTCCTTATTTTCTACATTTCTTTGTTTTTTGTTCTTTTTGCTCACTCACCCATTGTACAACTGTCAATCTATTCCAGCCAAGTCAGTTAGCCTGGTTCAAATGTTCAACTGCTTTGTCCCGGAGCTCCAGCTCCCAGCCTATTTGTCTGCTAGAGTCTTCTGTTTTTCGGCGTCTTCCAAGGAGAAGAAGAGTCCGTTTATATGGCCAGTCATGTGGCACGCATCATCATTTATCAAACAACGCGGCCACAATTCGCAGGGCTGACAACAAGCCAAAAACCATCCTCCAATCTTCGAAAACGAAAAACCCCCAAATTTGCCCCACCCACAAAAGTCGTCGCCGTTTTCTTGTCGCTGTCGCTCCTATTTTTTCCCCACTCTTTCGATGATATTTTTTTCTTTTTTTTTTCATCCATTCGGTCTCCTGCGTTTCCTTCGGTTCTTTATTGTTGTTGTCGACGCTTATCTTGGCCGTTTGACATTGATGTGCAGGGGTACAGTGGTCAAAATTATATAATTATCGAAATAACCAGAAAATTGCCTTAAAAGTAATGTTAAATAAATGGTTCTTATTAATTTGCTAGTTATATAGAGAAAGAATATGATATCATTAAATATCCTTGACGACCAAAAATATTTAATAAAGTTCTCCCATTTTAATATTATTATATCCTATTATTTCTATACTATTTATTTCCATCGAAATAACAAGAAAATTGCGTAAAAAGAAATGGTAAATAAATTGTTGTTGTGAAATATCCTTGGAGAACACAAATATTAAATAAATGTAATATTATTTTATTGCTCCTATATATATTTATGATTAATATTTTATTCCCATTAAAAATGATAATTAAAATTGCCCTCACAATGGGCTCCACTGTAGCAACGGCAACGTTTGTTGGTCCTGTCATGTAACGGTTAAATCTGCATGAAAAATTAATGCTGTGTTGTTGATACGGGAAAATGGTGGGGGAAAGTGGGTGCCGTATTGCGTATATCTGTGTCTGCGAGTTGTTGTTGTTGTGTGTCGGAATTAGCATTGGCTTGCGGTATTTTCCAACTACATTTTCCGTTGCCCATGCAGTTCGCTTTCTCTTTCTCTCACCATCTAACTATCTCTTTCACTTTTTCACATTTCGATTACTTAGCACCTTTTGCAGGAATTGTATTGGAATTTAATTGTCTGATGAGCGTAATAATTGATTTATAATCCCCTTATTAAACCTATTTTGTTAAAAAATCGTATTAGTTCTTTAATACAGCTTCAACATTTTTTTTATACATTTTATTGTAGTGTTAGATTTACCGTTACAATCAAATTTATCTCTTTCACGCTCTCTACTTTGGGACAATTACCGCGGTAGTTGGTAAATGCGGGTTCGCAGTGTCGAAAATGTAGGCGGACAGTGAACACTCAGTAGCTGGGACGCCACGGGGGATGGGGGAAATGAAATTGCCGGCGCTGCTGTGCCGACGGCGACTGCGACTGCGACTGCGACTGCAACGGCAACTGCGACAGCGGCTCGTCGGCGTCGCGTCGCTGCAGCAGCGCTGCCGCTGCGCGGTTAACCGTTTCGCGACGAAAGCCGAGCAGCGAATTACCGCTACGCGACTGCTGCTGCTGCGCAGCCAGCGTCAGCGCCGATCGGCGGGTTTTTGTTGCTACCGCGGGTTCTGTTACCGCTCGCCGTCCCGCTACCGCTCCCCCACCTCCTCCTCCTGTTGAGGTTTCCATCTTCATTGATCCCTTTTTGGCCGCAGTCATTTGCGCAGTCCGCTTTGCTGTTAAGTGCGCTGTTACGGGAGCCGCTGTAAAGAGTTAACAGAGCATAGTTTACCGTTACAATTGATTTAAGAATTTTATGTTAGTAATTAGGTAAGTAAGAAAATTTGATTTAATATTTTTAGAAATAATAATAATTTAAAAACATCAACTTAATGTGACTAGCGCGATAATTATAAGTGTGCACTTGTAGCGATGGGATATAAAATAAAAAAATTTAAAATAAAAAGAATTTATATCTTTCTTTCGGTAGTTGGGAAATGCGGGTTTACAGTATCCCATTATTATAATATAAACTTTTAAAGCCCAGTTTACAAAGGACTATTTCTATGTTTTCTTCAGTTTACCTTTTGTCTTCACCGGCAATTCCTGAAATGCTTTCTTTTTCAGTTCCAATCCCTTGGTTCCAGCCCCCGGTTTGGATACTCCTTTAGTCAGCGGAGGAGCCTTAGCTCCTCTGACAATCGTCGATCGATTGGTGTTCGGGATCGAACCTCGGTGGCTCCGTAGTTTGGGAGTCTGCTTAGCCTGTTCCGTCGGCTCATTCTTCTCGGATTGCTGAAGGTGCTGCGCCTGCTGATGAAGGATCTCCGCCTTGAGCACCTGCTGCTGGGTGCGGAAGGCACGCTTGTAGGCCGAAACCTGCCGTGGATAAAATAGTAATATATATGGTGAACTACTAGTGATTTAATGGAATACCTACCTGCGATGCACTCGCCACCAGCAGCTGATTGGCTCCTTTGAGGGAGGGCTCCCGTTTCTGCTCTTTTTGCGGCTTCTTCTGAGGCTTTTCTTCCCTGGAAACTTTGCTTTGGGGAGGTTGAACCGCCGGAAGGTCAGGCTCTTCGGATGGCTGGAAGAATGACCGATGGCTGGAGCGGCTCACCTGATTGCTGATCACCTTGGTCACCCGCGGCTTGTCCTGCTGGCTCACCAGCTTCATCTTCTTCTCCACGGGCTTATTCTTGACCTCAAAAGGGGTAATCGGCTCTTCCTCCACTTTGGCCGAGGTCTGAAGACTTCGCTGCTGCAATTGCAGACGACGCACTGGGGCCACGGTGGCTCGACTGGGCTCATCTTTTCCGGAAAACGATCCAGTTTCCGCTTTACACTTCTCTGAACTTCCTGCTGTAGATCCCGAAGCTTCACCTCCACTTGTTTCCCCAATCGAGCGTATTTTCTTCTCTGGTCCAGAAGAGATTCCAAAGTTTCCCCTACTTGTTGTTTCAGCTAGTGTTAAATTTGATCCGAAACCTGTTCCCAATGAGCTGCTCGATCTGGGGTACTTGCACCAATCCTCTCCCGGCTTGGCATCCCAATCGCCCGACGTTTCTTCTGAACTCTTTGAATATCCAAAGTTGACCGCCGATCTGTTGCCCGGATCGTCTGGAAAGGTTTCTAGGAAAAGCAAGATGGGTTACGTATGTATAGATTTATTTTAGATATCATATATCATAGCATATCAAAAAAGAATGTTCCCGTAAAATCGATATGGCCATGTTAATTACAGGTCATGTAAAACCCATATCGTTTTTACATGAAATACTCTTTTCGACCAGGTCAAATTTATTAAAATTGATCTTAAATAATGTAAAATTGATCTATGCTGTACACTTCTCACCTGGATTTCTTCCCAAAGTATTCGACCAAGTTACCGTCGAAGTTCCGGTCTTCAGGCTGGTCCGCGAACTGCTGTCCAGGCTGGATCCCCGTGTGTATTCCCCGATTCCCCGAGGACCTAATGGAGTTTCGGGTCGCGTTAAGGGTGCCAGGGACAGGGACTCCATCAGCTGGACCGCTCCGGACTCCAGGCTCCGGCTCCTCTGGCGGTAGTTGGCGTGCAGGACATTGTGGAAGCTGAGGTGGCGCGGTTGTTGCCTCACATCCAGACGGCGGGTGGCGGTGATGTCCGCCGAGTCCTCGAGGCGACTCCTCGGCGAATGGGCGGTGCTGGTGATGGGTCTCCTCTGGCTCCGATTGAAGGCGTAGGTGGCCACGGGTCCGTCGGCGAACTGAATGTACTCGAACTGCTTGACGCGATCGCCCAGAGTCTGGAAGCGGAAGCGCATCTCCGACGGTTGGCGGCCGCCAGTGCTTCTGCCCGATGACTCCAGATGACTCAGCACCGAGATCCTCCGCTTGAGGGCCGCATCCACCGGCATCAGGCAGTCGCCCTCGCCGCGCGGAACTCTCGTGGGTTGGGAGAGAGCCGTCTTGGCCATGGCCGCCATGTGGTGCTGCCTGCTCGGCGGCATCATCGCGGGCAGGGGAGGCAGGCTCATGGACCGGGCACTGAACATGCCTCCCATGTCCTCCCTGGAGGAGTCCCTGCTCTTCTGCAGCGACCTCTTGCGCTCCCGCCGCGCCTTGCTCTTCCGCAGCGAACCCACCATGATCTCGGTGCGGGAGGATCGCCTGCTGCTGGCGCTGGAGCAGCTCGAGCTGCCGTTCCTGCGGCCCACGAATCCTGGGCCGTAGGCCGAGGCGTAGGGACGAGCCGCCGAGAAGGACATGGAGCGCGGCTGACTCGCCTGCTTCATCGTGTGGAGCAGCTGGTCCGCCTGCAGGACATGGCTGCGCGGATAGATCTCGGCCGGACTGGGCACCTCCTGCGATTTCTTGACCCTGCGCAACGGACCCACGTTCTCCGCCCGAAAACGGGAGTGGCGATTGTCTGGGGAGTGAAAGTCGGGGTCACCAGGTGAGAAATAAATCGTTTTTTGACCGAAACAATAGAAATATTGATCCAAATATGGATTGTCATACCTTTCTGAACTTGTTATTAAATTTCCAATCAATTGGCATTTAAACCTGGACTTTTTATTTTTTGGCCATTTTTCCCCCTTATAAAAAAATTGAAAATTGGCAAAAATTTTATTTGTTAAAGATCACCCGAAAAGTGTCATGGATTTATTTATTATCTTGTTACCTGTTCAAAACAGTATGTCTTTTTGATGTAAGACCATTTTTGACCAAGTTACAGCAAAAAAAGCAAAGAAAAAATATTAAAATTGTTACCAAAAACCGCGATCCCAATTTTCACAAAAAAATAATTTGTTTTTTGACCGTAACAATGGAAATATTATGGAAATATGATGTAACTGTTGAGGTTACCAGGTGCGAAATATGTAGAATTAACCCCATTTATACATTCTCTACCCTGGGTTCCAAGATCGAAATGTCTAATAGTCTTAAGATATCAACGCAATACCAATTAAACTTCATCAAAAATATATTTTTACTTACGTTCGTAATAGGTCCTAACGGCACTTTCGTAGAGCTCGCTGGTGTTGCGCAAAAACCAGGGTTGCATTCGCGTATTAACTCTGATCAGTCGGTTCAGCTGGTCGGGTTTCATGGTGAAGCCCTAGTCGACTCAAACGAAGGGTTCAAGGGATATTGGGTCTTGAGTTCTCAGTTTTCAGGTAGTGGAATTTGGCGGGTTGCCTTGAATTGTTGGAAAAGCTGCTGGCTTTTGCTGGGACTCGAATAATTTTGCTTTGAAAATTCACCAAATCGGATAGAATATTTGAACTGAATTTTTATTTGCCTGTTGCTCAGACCACTTTTTGGAACTGCTTGGAATTTTTTTGCTTTTAACGAATGACTTGGAAAAACCAGGCGAAAGTCTATAGAAACGTAACTAACTGTGGTGTCCTAAAACATGCCGGTGCGTGAAACTAACTAAGTCTGTCTAAGGTGTATTTTGAAGAGCAAACAAAAGAAACTCAAGTAATGTTAACGTCAAAGCCAAGTAAAAATAAATGTATAATTTTGGAGCACATCAAATTTTAACATTACAATCGAGGTATCCTGAGTTTATTTATTTTACTGTATTATTTATTATGAAAATATTTTTATGACAATGAATTAACACCTCTTTCAATGGCATTAGGATGGTTTAATATTCCTAAGATTTGGACCTTTCAAATATTTTTTTATAGCTTCTTAGCCAAGTGAACCAAATACAGGATTAAATGCTAATGACTCGACTGCATACCTCTGTGAACTGTTCGACTGCCCCGAGGAATGGAATTCCGCATGGGAATAGGATTCCTCTTCCGTAATCCCCGACACATTTCATCCGAGAGCCGTAACTTAGCTGTACAATTATGTGTGTATTTCAATCAAATTAGCCCACACCGGGCATACATAATGCACTCATACTCACTCATTCGTTAGTCAACGCTGCTGCTAATCCCATCTCCATTGGGCCACGAAAAACACCCATTTGACATTGATTTATCAGCGGCTGTCAAAGTGCCTTCATCTGCACCGCCCACGTTCCGCCCCCCGCCCCCTAAAGCCATGTCCACGGGGCGTGGTCAAGGTAAAAATGTAATAATTAGCCGCAGTGATGTGATGATGTTCGGGGTCACCTCTCCGCCTCTTCGCCTCGTTAGCCATCTGCTCCTCCCGCTGGCTCGATTTTGAGCTTGGCCAGCAGCAATTTGTCAAAGTTTGGCCTGAAAAATGAATGCTGGTCGCCCGATGGGTGCACTTGGAAAAAAAGAACTGACCAAAGAGTAAAAGCTTCAAATAAAATACAAAATATAATGGTTTCTTGATGGTAATAAATATTTTCTAAAACTTACACTACACAAAAAAAAGACTAAAATTTAAATTTAAAAATTTAAATATTTATTTTGCATTCGTTTCCTTTAGATTTATTATATTTATTATTTGTGGCTTATTTAAAGATTTTTTTAATAACCTTCTAAAGCATAGTTTAAAAGTTATTAAAACTTATTTATCTACCATCGAATTTCTGGATTTTCAAGTTAATTTAATTTATTTTAACTTAATATAATTTTAGTTAGCCAGTTTTTCGGCCAGTGCCTTTCCTATGGTCAGGTGGAGGAGTGGTGCCAGTGGTTCCCCGGTTGAGTGCGTGTACGACGGGGATGAGTCCATCGGTTGACCAGTCCATTGATGATGTTGTTTGCTTGTTAGTTATTGCCGCCCCACCGCACTGCCAATATCCCAGCAGGACCGCTGGCGAAAAGTGCGCAAAATGCACAAAAATGGGGGGGAAATGGGTGAAAGTGTACGGATGGGACAGCAGGAAACCGGAGACCCGGAGACCAGGATCGTGAAACCCGAAACCCGAGACCCGGATCCAAATCCGGAGCAGCTGCATCAGATCCCTGGCTAAAAATTGATTTTAATTCAATTACAGTGCGTAATTTATGCATTGCCGAAATCGACCACTAACCCTAGTAAAACACCCTTTGCAATTCGGCCGCTTTACCAGCAATTTCGGTGTTCATTTCCATTTTGGAATTTGACTTTCGAGGAACCCAAGAACTTTAAAGGTGATTTCGGAAGGAAAAATTGGCTTTGATTTAAAAAAATACATAATTAAAGTATGTTAAAAAAATATAAATAAATTCTATCGTAAGGTAAAATAAAAATAATAATAAAAATGTTTGTATAATTTTTCCAGTGTCTGTAAACTTACTTTTGCTTTTGAAAAATTTTGTTCTTATTGTTTTGTAAAAGTTTTGGCTGAGCTACATTAATTAATTGACACACTGCTACTTTTTGCCTTACTTTTCCTTCGTTTCGTTTTTTTTTTTCTCGGCCACCTTTGACCTTCCTAATTGCAGCTTACGCAGCACACACACACCTACACGCCGAAATAAAAATGAAAGCAGTAAAAAATTCGAGTGCAAAACTTTCGCATCGCCCATCTGCAAGGGCCCGAAAAATATGCTGAAAGCAAAGGGGGGACCCTTCTCCTTTGTCAGTTTTGCTTTCTCTGTCTCTAAGCTGCCACATTAGCAAGTGAGGTGCAAAGTTTACGAGTGTCCTTTTTCACTTCTTCCCTTGTTCTTGTTCTTGTTCTTGTCCCTACTTTTTGCCGTCACTCTTATTTAGTCCTGATGGGACCTTCTGACTACCGTGGATTTTTATGTATTATTCTAGAATTTAATTAGAAAATTAAAATATTTAATTAAAATAATAATGATAATTATAATTATAATAATTTAAAATTGTGGTATTTTTAAGAAATCTGTTGGAAAATGAAAATATTCGCTATTATTCATTAATCAATTTTAAAATATAAACATTCAAAATATGTGAAGTATTTGTATTCTTAGTAAAAATTGTGGTCTTTATAAGAAATACTTAGTTATTTATATTTAAATGTTTAAATAATGTGTTGAGTTAAATAATGTTTACAAATATTTACAATGTAAAATATTACACAATAGAAATATTTTTTATTTGAAAATTCCCCAGTGAAAATCGATATTTTGTAGATATGTTCCCATCGAGATTGCCCTTATCCCAGCCTGTTTTCCATTGTACTTTCCGCTTCCCTTCATTTTCACTTAAAGTCAGCTTTCTTTCAGTTAAGTCTGCTTATGTCTGCAGTTGGGTCGTCGTCGCTTGCCGTTGTTCCTTGGGCTTTCTCATGTTTTTTATGCTCATTGCTGTTGCCGTTGATGTTGTTTGTTATGATTTTGAGTGGATGTGATGATGGGTAGCCCGTTTCCTTTGACAGGCGAAAGAGAGTGGCAAGTGCCGTCGAAAAGGTGACAAACAGGACTCGAATGGACAGCGGTCCGTCGTCCCTGTGCAGTGGCCTCATTAAAATTGACATTCATTGCATTTGGGCAATTAGACTAATTGACTTTTAACCAGTTCGCGGCACACATGTGACCCACTCTTACCTTTATATCATTTCCATGAATTTTCCATGGGCTGCCGTGCGTTTTGTTGGGCTTGCATAATTGTGGGCGTGGTCGGGGCCGGGTAATTTAGGTTGCTGCAGGTGGGGGCGCACTTTACGCAGAACGCAAGAATAATCTATAAAATACCGTCGAACTTAATCGTTAATCGATGGGAATGTTTCACTGTCTAAAGTCAATTTGAAGCTAATTATGTTGACTTTTTGGGTAAAAAGGATATGTGATTAAGTTGGTTTAAAGTAGGTTGTCTTTAGTAATAGTAATAATAATTGCCCTATTCTACAATTAAAAAAGTTATAATAATATTTAAAGGCACTTTACATATATTTTTTCTTTTATTGATAACAAATTTATAAACTATTCATAAAACGAACAAAAGTGATTTTAGTAATAATTATGTTGATTTTTTGGGTATAAAGGATACAAATTTAATAATGAGTTAAACATTAATAAACTAATTCTAAAAATAAAATCTTTTTTATTTTTTTTAAATATATAGAAGCTATATTATGGTACTTAAACTATCCCTAAACGTATTTAAAGCTCTTTGGTCTCTTAATTAAATTTATTAATTTGTCTAATGCAACGCCAAGCAGCCATGTGCGAAAACTGTCGGCGAAAGAGCAATCGATGGGATTACAGGAAAGTGAAAACTGTGATAAGGATCAATCAACTGAATCCTGCGGTCGACAAAGCCCCTTTCCCTGTCCTTTCTCCTCGCCTGGCTCTGCGCTGGACGAGATTCTGGCCCAGACCTTGTCAGGGATCTGACAAAAGAGCGAGAGCGGCGAACAAAAAACCGCACAGGAATGTGGAAAAAAGCTGCGAAAAGCGGGGAAAAACCGAGGGAAGGGCAGGGGGGGCTGCAGCGCGGAATGGCTGCGAAATGGAGATGAATGATGTGCGGGGGATTTGGAAACAGTTGCCACATGGCGTTAGTCAAGCTCAGGGATGCAAGTCAACTGCGCTTAGCGCTGCACTCACTTTTGGCCAAAATGTGGGGTGGTGGGGAAAGGGGGCGGGAAAAGCCCTGGAAAAGCCAGGGAACACAGTCCATCGCTCTGGCTCACTGCAGTCGCTCATTCATTCATTTGCCCAGTCAGGCATTCATTCATTTCCTTGATTATGTTTCTTATCAATGATAAATGAATATGAACGTAGCGAGCACTCAAAACTGCTCTAAACTGGCTGGCAAAGTGAAAGGAAAACCAGCAGGGGAAGCCTTGGCTTTTCCCCACAGTTGCCAATCGGATTTAGTTGGACTTAAGCGATTTTCCACATCACCCTTTTCGAAATGAATTCATTTAAAGCATTTTTGCGACTAAATGTTTAAGGTTATTTATGAAAATATTTAAATATTAGAAAATGTTTTCTATTATTTTAGAGCCTCAATAACTATATAAAATATTTAATAAATTAATTTTTTTCTTTATAAACTTCTTACATTTTACCATAACCATAATCATCAAATTACATTGATTTCGGTTCGATATTGTGTTCATAATAAATTGATATGCCACACCAACTACCTTACACACATCGGAAAATCCCAGAGTTCGGTGAGGCGAAAGCCAAAAGGGAAAACGAAAGTCAAGCGCAGCCCAGGACGAAGCGAAACGAAACCCAACTGCTCCTGATGCGGCTGCACATCCAGCCATCCAACCATCCAACCATCCAACCATCTAACCTTCCAACCTACCACATGGCCACCCTTTCCAGATCCTCCAGCCAGGGGCCCACATCCCGATCTAGACCAGACCAGAGAATACGCAGCCCGAACCAATCCAAATCACCCGGCACTCAGGGAAAAATGTAATATTAAAGAAAGGATACAATTTTAATTTTAATTATAATTATAATTTTTTTTAATTTGTAGAGCCACTAGACAGTAAATTTGTTAATGCATAATTTGTTAATTGCTTAATAACAGGACAGCATCTATTCGGGTGAAAAGTGAAAGAAATTGTGGTATTCAAAGAATGTGCCACAATATATTTGATCAGGATTCGCCGCTGGCTTGAACTATTTAACTAATATTTA